ACCATAAACCCGCTCTACTTTTGGAATCAGCAGGTCAAAATCTGTCTCATTGAATTTTTTTGGAAATTTTTGACATCTTCAAAAGCAAAATTTTTTAAAAAATCTCTAGTAAAATTTCGGCAAATTTTCAGCCATTTTGGAAACTTAACTAAGAACATTTTCCTATAGGTTTTGACCCACAGAAGCTGGTTTCTGTCTTATTTCTTTGATAACTTCTACCATTTTTCCAGAATTACCTATTGCAGTTTATTTTATTTTTAAGTAAATTAATTTTGAAATTGAATATTTCTAAAATCTTGCCCTGAGTACTTAAACACGCTTTATTTTTGGAATCCGTCAAAATTTGTCTCTCTGAATTTTTTCGAAATTTTTTGATAACATTTTCAGAAGCAAAATTTTTGAAAAAATTATCCCTAGGAAAATCTCGGCAAATTTTCAGCCACTTCGAAACTTAATTAACTAAGGACATTTTCTTGTAGATTTCGACCCACAGAAGGTGTTTTCGGCCTCATTTTTTCCATAACTCCTACCATTTTTCCAGAGTTTCCCATTGAAAAATACCTATTGCATTTTTTTTTAATTTTTAACTAAATTTATTTTCAAATTAAATATTTCTAAAATTTTGCCCTGAGACCTTAAACGCTATCTATTTTTGGAATCAGCACATCAAAATCTGTAGCTCTGAATTTTGTGGGAATTTTTTGACATTTTCAAAAGTAAAATTTTTCAAAAAATTCCCTCATTGAAAATTTCGGCAAATTTTTAGCCATTTTCGAAACTTCACTACGGACATTTTCTTATAGATTTTCGGCCTCGTTTCTTCGTTAAATTCTACCGTTTTTCCAGAATTGCATTTTTTTGTATTTTTAAGTAAACTGAATTTTAAACCGAATATTTCTAAAATCTTGACGTGAGACCAGAAACACGCTCTATTTTTTGGAATCAGCACGTCAAAGTCTGTATTTTTGATTTTTTGACATTTTCAAAGTCAAAATTTTTCAAAAAATTCCCCCAATGAAAATTTCAGCAAATTTTCAGCCATTTTCGAAACTTAACTAAGGACATTTTCTTATAGATTTCGACACACAGGAGCTGGTTACGGCCTTATTTCTTCGATAACTTCTACCATTTTTCCAAAATTGCCCATTGAATTACCTATGGTATTTTTTTGGATTTTGAAGTAAATTGATTTTCAAACCGAATATTTCTAAAATCGTGCTCTGAGACCCTAAACACGCTCTACTTTTGGAATCGGCACGCCAAAATCTGTATCTCTGATTTTTTTGGAATTTTTTGACATTTCCAAAAGCGAAATTTTTGAAAAATTCCCCCTATGAAAATTTTGGCCACTTTCGAAACTTAACTAAGAACATTTTCTTACAGATTTCAACCCCCAGAAGCTGATTTCGGCCTCATTTCTTCGATAACTCTTATCGTTTTTCCAGAATTTCCGATTGAAAATTATCTATTGCATTTTTTTTATTTTTAACTAAATTGATTTTCAAACTAAATATTTCTAAAATCTTACTTTGAGACCTTAAACACGCTGTTTATTTTTGGAATCAGCACATCAAAATCTGTATCTTTGAATTTTGTCAGAATTTTTTGACATTTTCAAAAGCAAAATTTTTGAAAAAACTGCCCGTATAAAAATTTCGGCAAATTTTCGGCCATTTTCCAAAGTTAACTAAAGACACAGAGAAGCTGATTTCGGCATAATTTCCTCGATAACTCCTACAGTTTTTCCAGAGTTTCCCGTTGAAAATTACCTATTGCATTTTTTTTTAATTTTTAACTAAATTGATTTTCAACATAAATATTTCTAAAATCTTGCCCTGAGACCTTAAACACGCTCTATTTTTGGAATCAGCACATCAAAATCTGTATCTCTGAATTTTGTGGGAATTTTTTGACATTTTCAAAAGCAAATTTTCTTTTTAAATTCCCCGAATGAAAACTTCGGCAAATTTTCAGCCATTTTCCAAAGTTAACTAAAGACATTTGCTTATAGATTCGACCCACAGAAGCTGGTTTCGCCCTCATTTCTTCGACAACTCCTACCATTTTTCAAAATTGCCCAATGAATTACCTATTGCATTTTTTTTTCAATTTTTAACTAAATTGATTTTCAAACCGAATATTTGTAAAATTTTGCTCTGAGACCATAAACATGCTCTATTTCTGGAATCAGCAGGTCAAAATCTGTATCTCTGAATTTTTGGGAATTTTTTGACAACATTTTCAAAAGCAAAATGTTTCAAAAAATTCCCTCATTGAAAATTTCGGCAAATTTTTTCAGCCATTTTCGAAACTTCACTAAGGACATTTTCTTATAGATTTTCGGCCGCGTTTCTTCGTTAAGTCCTACCGTTTTTCCAGAATTGCATTTTTTGTGTATTTTTAAGTAAATTAATTTTTAAACCCAATATTTCTAAAATCTTGCACTGAGACGTTAAACACGCCCTATTTTTGGAATCAGCACGTCAAAGTCTGTATCTGACATTATTTTGGAAATTTTTTCACATTTTTAAAGGCAACATTTTTCAAAATTTTCCCCCAATGAAAATTTCGCCAAATTTTCAGCCATTTTCGAAACTTAACTAAAGATATTTTCTTATAAATTTTGACCCATAACAGCTGGTTTCGGCCTTATTTGTTCGAAAACTCCTACCATTTTTCCAAAATTCCCCATTGAATTACCTAATGCATTTTTTTTCCGGATTTTTAAGTAAGTCCTGAGACCATAAACACGCTCCATATTGGAATCAGCACGTCAAAATCTGTATCTCTAAATTTTTTTACAATTTTTTGACATTTTCAAAAGCAAAATTTTTCAAAAAATTCCCCCTATAAAAATTACGGTAAATTTTCAATTATTTTCAAAACTTAACTAAGAACATGTTCTTATAGATTTAGGCCCACAGAAGTTTCGGTCATTTTTCCAGAAGCATCCATTGGAATGTTGCAATTTTTATTAACCGCATTATTAAACAAATTTTGGTTTGTTATTTAAATGTTTCACAATAATTAAAATTTTGGAATAATCGATACGGCTGTTTCAAAAATTATCTCTTGATAAAAATCCCTGCAGATGACAGAAAAAACTGCATTTTCGTATTCAACGAATTGCGAAATGTCTAGAAAATGAGGCATTAGTTAGATATTCGTCGAATAATTCGTGTAGTATGATTAAGTCCTACTCACAGATTTCAACAATGTAATTAATGTAAAATGAAGCTTCTAACTGATTTCGGTTTGGCACAGTTACTTTAAAAGATAAAAATGTATTAATTTAAAATATAAATTTTTCGAAAAATTAAATCATATAGAATAGAAAATATCCTAACCCTGTGGTTGGCGATTCCCATCTCTACACACTCCGACTAAACGAAGGTGCATTTAAACTTTTTAAAAACCGTTGTATAGTTTCTGAGATTATCTATACATATAATAAAATGAATTGGGAAAAGACAGAAATGGGAAACTTGCATTTTTGTATTTTCGGCAATTTTGACAAAAACATGTTTCTATTATCCTTCTTTTTACTTCCCGAGCTTAAGCTAAGGGAGTATTGTAATAGGGCCATTGGACGAATGACTACTTTCATATTTTCTCGACGTTTCATGACCCCTAGAGTACGAAGAAATAGGTACTCCGTTTTTCAAAAAACTGGATCTGTTGGATTGTATATATTTAAGGGACGAGGAAAGTTCTGTCTAAATAACCTTAGACCAATTTTTGTTTTATTATTTATTTTATTTACATTATTGTTTTTCTCTTCATGATTTTCTACAATTTTGGATTTAATATTCTTCAAAATTTCATATCTTAAGGCGTTTTACATTTTTAAAAATTATGCAATTTTTTATTTTTCTTGATTTTCAAATGTTAGATAATTTTTACTTCCACGCGAAAATTAAGAAAGGTTTATTTGTCGAATTTATACGGTTTCCACGTTTCATAGCTCCTAGAATATGAAAAAGTAGATCTTCCATTTTCGTTATATCGCCTGTGGTTTGATGGCGATTGCCGAAACTGTCGGACGGGTTGTTGTGAAATGTTAGACGTATTTTAAGAATCTACATAATGGTAAAACGCTAACGAAAATTTGTCTATTCAGCCCCACAGAAAATGTGATGACGTCGTCCCAAAATTTTCTTACATAAATTGTATCAAAAATGTACAAAAAACCTGTACTTTCGTATTCAACGAGTTGTGAATTGTCAAGAAAAAAGCGAAATTAGCAGATCTCAGCAATATAATCGATGAAAAATTAAGCTTCTAATTTGTTTTTGCAAAATACTATTATAACTTTTTAATGACGACTTTTTACCGTTCAAAGTATATCCTCTTTTACTATGTAGGGTATAATGACATACAAAATTATTTTTTGTCAAGCTATAAATTAAAAAATTCAAGTAATTTGTTAACATGTGTGTCTTATTTAAAAAACGAAAAATGACGATTTACATGTCAAGATTCAATAAAATAATTGTTAAAACGCAATCACTTACATAAAAAAAAAATAGGTGTAAGTCGCTCATGCTCTCTAATAATTTGTTAACTCGGCTAACGTCTCATCAAAAAAACTTTATACTTGTGCGCTAAGTACCATTTCGCGCACTAGTTGCACCAATAATCATTTTATTACATCTGTCACACAAACGCTAAATGTGTCTTTGACATGAACCGGAACATTTCCGTTAGCAATTACAGTACTAAAGTAGTTCTTTCAAGTAATTTATGTAAAAGTGGCTTATTCAAAAAAAGGGCAAAACCAAACACGGGTGCCAATTTTACTAAATTTGAAAATATTCTGATCCAATTTCCAATCACGAGATTTTCACGGTACCACCTTATTAATCAATTCAGATATCTAAATCTAATCAAGTTAATTTTTAATGTTTTGAACCCAAAAATATTTTGCACATTTTTCAAAAATCGCTTGTTTTGATGAGTGCTTCCGGTACTATCATCCTTCAAAAAACCCTCCAAATTACCTGGTTATTGTTGACCGCCGCCACCGCCACAACCACGCCAAACCCTAGAACCCACAACATCTCCGAGTACCGTTCCTTCGCACTACTTCGCGTACCGCACGTTCCACTACAAGTCAGCTACAGCTACTCCTCGAAGACGCACCGTGCACAGGGAGGTCACCAGGTCACTAGGAGGAGGGAGATGGCAGGCAGCACTCCTAAGCGATCGGCTCGCAGCAGATTGCGATGTCACAGCGCCGAGATGTGCAAAAACGTGTGAAAAAATCCAATTCATTCATCGATGACAGGTTTTGATGAAACGCCGACCAATTCGAACACGTTTCGAAATTTTGTCATTTCGTAAAGTGCATTAGGATGGAGTGACATCTTCTGTTTGGAGAGTTATGTAATGGAGGCGTGATGTCATTGCTGGGACTTTGTACGTCTGAGTTTTCGCGTACATTGATGATAATGATGGTGATTGTCTGAATGGTGAAAAATTTTGGCAGGTGGATGGTTGGAAAAGTACGGGCGGTACTTTTGATGCGGGTTTGGAGATGGGGGAAAACCAGACACATGATTTTTTTGATGCGTTTTCTAATTACAGTTTAGTCGTGACTTAAGTGTTTGTCTTAAGTTGGAACTAGAGATTTCAGATCACGTTTCTGTGCGATATTGTAGCCTGTAGGGGTACAAGTTTTTTTCTTGTTTAGATTACAACTTTTTTAACTAATTATAGTACATATATTATTTTTTAATAGTTGTTTTTCTCAGCTCTTTAGCTATTTGTGTTTATAACGGATGCTTTTTTTCTGAGAAACTTCTCAGTTTTAGTGAAATACTCCCTCTCGACCCAAAATATGTGCCAGATTTCTGTATCCTTGAATATTATCTTCATTTTTATTAAAAACAAAAATTGCAGGTGTTTCTTTGGGTAATAATAATTCTTTGTTTCCTAACGAATTTAAAGAGACTTTTTTAAAATACCGGTGTGGAGAAAATATGGCCTTGGAAATAAAATCAGTTGCCCCAATTCAAAGAAAAAAGCCTACTTTAATAGAACAAACTCATCAGGGCATCTCCAAGTTCTTTCAATTTTCTTCAAAAACAACATTAGGGATCCTCAAGATTCTTTCGAAGTACTTCATAAACAAAATAAAAACCTCCGTAATTTTTTCAAAGAACATAAGGGGACCCCGAGATTCTATAAAAATCGCTTCAAAAATAAAACAAAAAGGGTCCCCGAAATTCTTCAAACTACTTCAAAAGCCAGACATAAGAGGTCCCGAGATTCTTTTAAACTACTTCAAAACAAAACATAAGGGGTCCCCGAGATTATTTCAAATTATTGGACAAATGAAACAAAAGGGATCCTTGAGATTCTTTTGAATTACTTTAAAAAATCAAAACAGAAGGGGTCCTCAAGATGTTGTAAAACCTATTTAAAAAATCATGGACAAGGGGGCCCAGAGATTCTTCCAAATTACTCAAAAATCACACAAAATTGTTACCCGAAATTTTTTCAAACTATTTCAAGACGAAGACAGGGGTGTCCGAGATTCTATAAAAAACTACTTCAAAAATCATGCACAAGGGGCACCCGAGATTCATCCAATTAGGTAATCAAAAACCAGACACAAGTGGTCCCCGAGATTCTTTCAAAAACAAGTAAAAGAATCACCGAGATTCTTTCAAACCATTTCAAAACGAAGACACAAAGGGTCCCTCAGATTCTATAAAAACTACTTCAAAAGTAAAACAAATAGAGTCCCCGAGATTCTTTCAAACTATTTCAAGACGAAGACACAAGGGATCCCCAAGATTCTATTAAAACTACTTCAAAAATCATGCACAAGGAGCCCCCGAGATTCTTCCAAATTACTCAAAAACCAGACACAAGTGGTCCACAAGATTTTTTCAAGCTACTTCAAAAACAAAACCAAAGTGGTCCCCGCCATTCTTCCAAACTGCTTCAAGGACAAGACCGGGGATCCCCCTATTCTTTCAAACTACCTTAAAACGAAGATACAAGGGTTCCCCGAGATTCTATAAAAACTACTTCAAAAATAAAACACAAAGAATCCCCGAGATCCTGCAAGGTACTTCAAAAAGCGTGCACAAGGGGTCCCCGAGATTCTTTCAAACTATTTCAAAACGAAGACACAAGGGGTCCCCGAGATTATATAAAAACTAATTGAAAAATCACGCACAGTGGATCCCTGAGATTCTATAAAAACTACTTCAAAAATACAACAAAAAGAGTCCCTGAGATTCTTTAAAACTATTTCAAAACGATGACACAAGGGACCCCCAAGATTCTATTAAAACTACTTCAAAAATCATGCACAAGGACCCCCCGAGATTCTTCCAAATTACTCAAAAACCAGACACAAGTGGTCCACGAGATTTTTTCAAGCTACTTCAAAAACAAAATCAAAGTGGTCCCCGCCATTCTTTCAAACTGCTTCAAGGACAAGACCGGGGATCCCCCTATTCTTTCAAACTACCTTAAAACGAAGATACAAGGGTTCCCCGAGATTCTATAAAAACTACTTCAAAAATAAAACACAAAGAATCCCCGAGATCCTGCAAGGTACTTCAAAAAGCGTGCACAAGGAGTCCCCGCGATTCTTTCAAACTATTTCAAAACGAAGACACAAGGGGTCCCCGAGATTATATAAAAACTACTTGAAAAATCATGCACAATGGATCCCTGAGATTCTATAAAAACTACTTCAAAAATAAAACAAAAAGAGTCCCCGAGGTTCTTTCAAACTAATTCAAAACGAAGAGACAAAGGGTCTCCGAGATTATAGAAAAACTATTTCAAAAATAATGGGTCCCTGAAATTCTATAAAAACTACTTCAAAAATAAAACAAAAAGAGTCCCCGAGATTCTTTCAAACTATTTTAAAACGAAGACACAAGGGTTCGTCAAGATTCTATAAAAACTACTTCAAAAATAAAACAAAAAGGATTTCCAAGATCCTATAAACTACTTCAAAAAGCGTGCACAAGGAGTCTCCGAGATTCTTTCAAACTACTTCAATATGAAGACGCAAGGGGTCCACAAGATTCTATTAAAACTACTTTAAAAATCATGCACAAGGGGTCTCTAAGATTCTATAAAAACTACTTCAAACATAAAACATAAAGAGTCCCCGAGATTCTTTCAAACTATTTCTAAACGAAGACACAAGTGTTCTCCGAGACTCTATAAAACTACTCCAAAAAAAAAACAAGAAGGATTCCCGAGATCCTGTAAACTACTTCAAAAAGCGTGCACAAGGAGTACCCGAGATTCTTTCAAACTATTTCAAAACGAGGACACAAGGGGTCCCCGAGATTCTATAAAAACTACTTGAAAAATCATGCACAATGGATCCCTGAGATTCTATAAAAACTACTTCAAAAATAAAACAAAAAGAGTCCCCGAGATTCTTTCAAACTACTTCAAAAATAAAACAAAAAGAGTCCCCGAGATTTTTTCAAACTATTTTAAAACGAAGACACAAGGGTTCCTCAAGATTCTATAAAAACTACTTCAAAAATAAAACAAAAAGGATCTCCAAGATCCTGTAAATTACTTCAAAAAGCGTGCACACGGATTCCCTCAGATTCTTTCAAACCATTTCAAAACGAAGACAAGTGGTTCCCGAGATTCTATAAAAACGAAGTACTTGAAAAACGATGCACAAGAGGTCCCTGAGATTCTATAAAAACTACTTCAAAAAGTTCCCGAGATTCTTTCAAACTACCTCAAATATAAAACAAAGGCGATCTCCGAGATTTTTTCAAATTACTTCAAAAACAAAGTAAAAAGAATCCCGGAAATTCTTTCAAACTATTTCAAAAACCAGAAACAAGGGGTCCCCGAGATTCTTTCGAATTACTTCAAAAACAAAAGGAATCTCAGAGATTTTTTCATACTACTCCAAAAACAAAACAAAAGAAATACCGGAGATTCTTTCAAACTACTTGAAAAACAAACCAAGAGGAGTCCGCGAGACTCTTTCAAACTATTTCAGATCGAATACACAAGGGGTATTCGAGATTCTGCGAAAACTACTTCAAAACCATGCACAAAGTGTTCCCGAGATTCTTTCGAACTACTTCAAAAACAAAACAAAAGGAATCTTCGAGATTCTTTCAAACTACTTCAAAAACAAACTAAAGGAATACCGGAGATTCTTTCAAACTACTTCAAAAACAAATCACAAGGAGCTCCCGACATTCTCCCAAACTACTTCAAAGACCAGACAAAAGGAGTCCCCGAGGTTCTTTCGGATTACTTCAATAACAAAGCAAAAGTTGTCTCAGAGATTTTTTCAAAGTACTTCAAAAACAAAACAAAAGTGATCCTCGAAATTCTTTCAAACTACTTCAAAAACCAGGCACAAGAGGTCCCCGAGATTCTTTCGAATTACTTCAAAAACAAAACAAAAGGGATCTCAGAAATTCTTTCAAACTATGTACTTCAAAAATTAATCATAAGATGTCCAATTAAGTATTTTGACAAGACATCACAGATTGTATTAGTATTAAAAAGCAGAATATTCAAAATTAAGCCGTTGATTTTTTTGCGATAAATCTGTGTGTGCAGCGTTTATTCAAAATTTCATAAAAAAAAATATAGGTTAAAAAATCACATTCTCTAATATATCACTTAGCTTCCTACACTTTTACTGGTATTACTTATCTATATTTGTTTTAATTTACAATTAAAGTTATCCAAAATGACAGTTCGAGAGTTTTTATTTTTCAAAAAATAACCTTCCATCAATGTTTTCAAGTTGTACTGTTTCGGTTAGTCAGTAACTTAATTTTAAACAAAATAAATTTAGTTTTCTTAGACTTTTTTAATTTGAGGATTGTTATAACTTACATTTTATATTCTTCTTTTTTAATTGATCACACTTTTTATTTTCTTTTATTATCTTCTCAAGCTTCCTTCCTTTTGTGGTTCCACTTTTGTTTTACTTCTCGAACTAATTTCATATTTTTTCCACGTTTCATAGCTCTTAGAACCTATTTATACATTTATACATATATTTTATTTTTACGTTTTTATTTTTAGGTTCAAGTAAAAAAGGAATTAATATTTTACGATCAGTATTAAAACCGTTTTCCCCCACTGTTAGCTGGAAAATTTGTTAATTCTAAATTCAAGAAATTTCTACCTTCCTCCTTATTCTCTTTCAATATTTAATAAAGAGTCAAATGCTTGAAAAAATCTTTAAAATACACAGGTATCTATTACAGAAAAAGGTTTTTCAGTTTTTCCAACTAGATCAAATAATCAACAACCCTATAATTGTGGAATCTACTCCCGCTTATTACACTGACAGACGACATTAATATTTGACCAACAGGATTAGATATTTTTGATCTGAATATACTTAATTACTAACTAGTTACAACGGGTAAAACCACCAACTACTCACAGTTGAATAGAGTTATTCACCCACAAGTCGCTATGGATTTTAGAGTACAAGTAAAGCTAAAGCGCCGAACTGAAAATCATATAACAACTACCACTTTCAGGAGTACGACCTCAGAAAAACTTTCACAATAGAAAAAAAACTCCTACTTTTAATCGGAGTTTACCCATCTTCACGAAAAATCGCACACTTTTCAGGAACTTTCCTAAACCTTTTTGTTTCTGTAACCCAAATCATTTCCATGACGGTGCAGCTGATAATCGACGGCACGGACAAAAACCTTTCAAAAGTTTCAGAATCGCTTCAGTACTTCACAACTCTCGCCACCTTCATGTGCAAATTTATTAATTTCGTGTGGTACAAGAAAGTTCTGCTGGAAATCGAAGACGCTTTAACCTTGTCAGTGCTTTACGACCACTCGAACCACTGTTTCGATTTACTACAACAAAAAATATCCACGTGCCGGATTGTTGGTAAGGTTTTTCGAATTATGGTTATAGGAGCTGTGAGTTTGTACGGTTTGACGCCGTATCTGGACCCTGAAAAACACAAAACTTTGCCCATTCCTGGATGGTTTCCTTATAACGTAAACGATTATTATTATCTGACTTTTGCGTATCAGATGGTGGGTGTGGTTAACACTGCTTACACTAATTCTACTATTGATATTTTGACTTGGTTGTTGATAAGTGTGGCCTCAGGGCAGTTTGAAATTTTGAAAGAAAACTTGAGAAGAATCGATTATGGTAACGAAAATGTGCAAGAAACGAATCACAGTTTCGAAAAATGTGTAAATCATCATAAGGAAATTGTCAGGTGAAAAAATAAAATAAAAATAATAATTGTGTTTAAACGAAGACGTTGTAGATTGGTTTACAAAATCGAGCAAATGTTTTCTAAGGGAATATTTTTACAATTTTTTAATAGTGTGATAGCTATTTGTTTCACCGGTTTTATGATGATTATTGTAATTTGTGGCAGAATTTTTACAATGATCAAACTATTTCTCTATTTAACTTTTAGGTACCTCCATTTAGTTTGCAGTTTTGTTTTCTGGTGATGTATTTTTTGTGTGTTATGTTGCAAATAGCGATGTATTGTTGGTACGGTCATGATGTTATGACAACAGTTAAGTAGTTAGTTACATTAGCTAACTCAAGTATAAGTGCTTTATTTTAGAGTAGCACAATTGGAGAATCTTTCTATATGTCGAACTGGTACAAGTCTGATTTGGCAATTCGTAGAAACGTGACAATTTTCTTAGAAAAAACGAAGAAACCGGTTTGTTTGACAGCGGGAGGATTTGTCACTCTGTCTTTGACAACATTAACTGGCGTAAGATTTTCTATCGTGAGATAGTTTTACCACTGTTTATTTATTTCAGATTTTGAGATCGTCCTATTCTTATTTTGCTGTTCTTCAACATATATATGCAAAATCGTAAAAATAGCTATGTTCTAGATTTCTATTTTTCTGTAGCTGTTTCTTTTACTGGTCGGTATAAGCTCCGCCTTCAGCAGAGAGAGAGGAGTCTACAGCGACCAATTAGAATTAAAATTTTGCCACATTAAGTCAGCAGTTGATAAACAATTGAAGAAGATTAAAAACGGCATATATGGAATATCTATTTTTGGTTTAAAATACTTATGTGAAATCGTCACATAAGTATATATACTTTAAATTACTACTTCAATTTTCAACAGTTTTTTGTTGTAAATAGCTAAGGTTATATAAATGTAGTCGTGCTATATTAATGTTTTTATGACACTCTTGTTAGAACTCAAAAATTATCAAATTTCAGTGTAATTCGTTCTTAATTTTTAAATATACTTTTTTTCATAATTTTGACATAATGTATTCATCCATTTTTGTTTTTGTTAAAATGTATACAATAAAGTATTACAAAAAAATCAACGAAGAGGTCGTAATTTTGATATTTGTTTCGAAGGTGTGGTTTCATTTTCGTTTTATCTTACCTAGTTTTACCAACTGTTTTCTCTTCCTTAATGTTGTTATGTCTAAAGATTGGGCACTAAAACGTGGATAGAAACTATCTTCAAAATATGTTTTTTAAATATCATAGGTTGAAATTTTACAGTTTGTTTGAAAGCCTAAAAATAACATCTTTAAAATAAAATCACTTCTTTGAAATTTGTTTTTTTATTGATCCACGGAGCAAAATTTTTTATTAATTCCTTCAAAAAATTGATGACGTGATCTAAAATTTTCTAGAACAAATGTTCATTAAGAAGTATACCTTAAAATACAGTATGTACCAAAAAATAAGGAACGATGAGATTTATTTGATTAAATCAGAAATTATTTATTACTCTCAAGTGTAAAGTAAGGAAGCAGATGTACAGCGAACGGCTACTTTAATAATTTCTCGACGTTTCATTATCACTACAGACAGATTGAAAGAATAGGTCTCCCATTTCCGTCTGTTTTATTTGTATTTTATTTAATTGTCATCGTGCAGATGGTAAAATGCTAATCAAACGGTAGCTAGTTAGACTGGAAAAAAATGAGGATGTATACCTTAAGGAAGTATTGTAATGTAATGTGAATCGTCCGGAAAATGGTTACTTTCATATTTTCTCAACGTTTGATGAAACTTAGCGTACGAAAAACTAGGGTTCTTGTTTCAGTCTGTCTGTCGTCTGTGTTTATATTTTATTAGACAGATAAAATCCGGAACTACTGGTCTGATTCTTTTGAAATTTTATATATAGGTTAGGAATATCGTATAGATGGTAAAACGCCATTCAAACTTTGTCTGATCATCCCCCTCAACAATTTGATAACGTCACCTCGAAATTTTCCATAGTAAATGCTGTTTAAATTTTGTAAAAATACATATGTCTGAAAAAGCTACAAAAAAGACGATAAAAAATAAAAGAGCCCCAAAAAATCTATAAAAACTATCAAAAAATTCTAATTAAAAAAAAACAGGATAAAAAATGCGACTAAAAATAGTGTACGGGTGGGGACCAAAAGAACGACAAATAAAGGTACAAAAGAAGTGACAAAAATGTTGTAAAACAAGGTATTTTTTTTTTTATTTTATATGTAGGTTAGGAATAAGGTGTAGATGGTAAAACGCCATTCAAAATTTGTCTGATCATCCCCCTGAACAATTTGATAACGTCACCTCAAAATTTTTGCATTGTAAATGCTATTAAAATTTTGTAAAAATACATATTCCTGTCTTTTTTTAATTATTATTTTAATTTTTATTGTTTCATTCTTCTAATGGTAAATCTGTTTTAAGATACATAATATGATGCAATGTGAACCTTGAAATTCCCGGTTCGGAAAGGAAAAACAGTTTTCCTGTTGAAAAATGAAAGATTTCTGTTTCTTCATAGTTTTAAGTTTAATGTTTTTCAAAGTCTCATATCTTGACGCGGTTTACACTTTAAAAAGTTACCCATTTTTACTTCTCGAGCGTAAGCGACGGAAATATTGTAATCGGCGATTGGCTACTTTCATGTTTTCTCAATGACTCCTAGAGTATCAAAAAATATGTTGGGAACATCGTGTAGATTGTTTCATTTTTGTTTAATCATTCCACCAACACTTCGAGGAAGTTCCTTAAAATTGTGAATATCTGACGTTACTGAAATTTTAAAAATAACGTACTCCTCTACTTTTGGTTTATGGATCCGCCTTGAGTTTTCCGCTAGAGATCCAGGTTTTGGCAAAAACATGAAATTAGAATAACCTTTCTATTAATACACGCGCACGCAATTTTTATTTCACTGTCACTTGTGTTACCTACATTTTGTTAATTTATAGGGTTTATACTAAAATCAAAAATGGGACAAAAAAAGATGACAAAAAAACAATAAAAACTGTCCAAAAAAGGCAACAATAAAAAGCTGACTAAAAAAAGGTGTCAAAAAAAGCTACAAAAAAGACGATAAAAAATAAAAGAGCCACAAAAAAGCTATAAAAAAATAACAAAAAAGAGTAATTTAAAAATGACTCAAAAAATTTACAAAACAGGCAATAAACGCTTTAAAAATCAATAAAAATTACGGACAAAAAATACCACAAAAAAGAGGATAAAAAATGCGGCTAAAAATAGTGCATGGGGGGTGGGGACCAAAAGAACGACAACTAAAGGTACAAAAGAAGTGACAAAAATGTAACAAAATAAGGTGATTTTTTTAAATTTTATATGTAGGTTCGGAATATCGTGCAATTTTAATTTCACTGTCACTTGTGTTACCTACATTTTGTTAACTTATAGGGTTTATAATAAAATCAAAAGGGGCCCAAGAAAAAAGGGAGGACAAAAAAAATACAAAAGAAGCGACAAAAGTAAATACGACAAAAAGCGATAAAAACAACGACTCAAAAAAAGGTACAAAAAAGAGGACAAAAAATGCTACAAAAAAAGAGGACAAAAGATGCTACTAAAAATAGAGTAAAGGGGGAGAGGACCACCGACCAAATGAACTATAAATAAAGTTATAAAATAAGTAAAAAAATGCAACAAAAAAGATGAAAAAAAGTGGCAAAAAAGCAATAAAAATATATTTATTTTTAAACAGATGTAGTTTTAGTGATACCTACTGTACATTCTTCGTTCTGCGTAGGTATTTCTAAATTCATTAGTTTATCTTCATAAATATTCTGAGCTGATGAAACATGCTGTATATATATTATGTTGTTCTTGTGATGTATTAAATGGAAATTTTAGAAAAAAAAAAGCTTAACAAAATAAACGTTTAAGAACAAAATTAGTTCCGTAATATAAAATCAGGCAGCAAATGCAATAATAATGTAATTATGCAGTTTTGCACTGTAATTTTGAAAAACGGATTTTTTGTTTTCTTTTTTGCGCTCAGTTTATTACATACTTTAATTATGCCAAAGCCAATCTTTCGTATTCTACTATAATTCGTTCATTTTCATGTGTTGACTTTCCACTATTTGAAAACATACATAGCAATTAATTCTTTATAAAATTTCCAATTCCTGCTCGCTGGCCTTATGCAAGGTCGTAACAACCGACTTGTTAGTGTCACGATATTATTAGTTCTTTTAAAAATCCAGTGACAAGCTTGTTATACCAATTTAAAATTTACGAACATCACAATGTTAAAAGAAATTAGTTATACTGGTTTTATTTCTTACGAAAGTCGAATCTTTTATTGTTGATAAAGTTGTGTTGGCACACTTATTATATCTTTGTTTTGTTATAATTTTTCAAAAATCCCTACAATTTTTAAAAAATTACAGGCATTTTAATCATACTTGTACGATTTACGTTCCAGACAATGACCTGCGCTTCGTCATAAATAAAACAGATATAATCTCCGCTACGCTCACTATATTAATCCCAGTAATAATTATCGCTGGACAATAAATAATTAGACACCTAAATAATTAAAATGATGTTATTACGACCTCCAACTACACATTACGTCTACGCACGAATGCACAAATATGTACACTACAAGGAAATTATTGACATTAACGATCCAACGTATGTGAAAAATTCTTTCAGGATCTAACATTCCTCTGACATTTAAACCACATAATTTTTCGTTAAATTGCGCCAAAGTTTAATGCTTTTTCGTGATTTGAGGAAGTCGGGATCCTAATAAAATATAAATGAGGTTCCAAAACAGAGTTACTCAATAGTGACCTAGTCTGAGGGTTAAGCTTCGGGAAGCCTAACCTCTGGCCTCCGCTTTACATAAGACCTATCGATCTCGTATCGGGTTTCGCTAAATGTCTACTCACGAAAGTTTTTTCGTTTTATTTCTCCTAATTTATTTAAATTTGGCAGAAATTGTAGAGTAAAGGTGCAAATGATGATGGCTCTTACGCAAGAATTAGATTATCGATAACCCAGACAAAGGTGAGTGAGTGGAAGTGTTTCTTTTGGTTTATAAAAGTTAAGATACAATACGTTAATGGAACAGCATTGAGTTGATGGTTCTTTTGTTCGAAATTGCTTAAGTCGTTTAGATTAAGTGCAAACGGTTAGGCGATAACGTGAAATGAACGGGAAGGTAGAAGGTTTGGAGATAACTGGACTCGGAAATCAGTGTCAGCGCTAAGGAATTTGGTAATGTGATGCAGATTTTTGTCGTTAAACAAAGAAAAAAAAAACGTTATAAAAAGGAAGAAATCTTTAAGTCACGACGAGTTTTATTATACAACTTATGCACAGGTTGCTGGAATGAGTAGCAAAATCATATCTCATTATTTTAATGGTTCAACCTTAACCTTCAAGTGCTCTTTCTACTATACCAGCGGAAGAAATTGATTGCCTCATCAACTTGCCATAGACATAATTTATCTTCTAGCTGGAACAGAATTTTTTGTTAAATATTTACAGTCATTCATAATAATTTATCATTATATTTGAATCTCTTTGTCATTGATATTTTTCTAATGTTCCACATTAGTGCTTTGTATCGGACT